ATCATTAATCAACGTCAAAATATTTATAATTATAATTGTAAATAGTTAAAAAATAAAGTTCTTAAAATAAATTGTTCATTCGAATTTATTAAATTCTTATATTTTTAAATTTGATCACCTAAAGTCTTTTATAAATAATAGTACTTATTAATTAACTAATTATAATTATATATTTTGGACCTAAGGTTTTTAGGGTTTATAAAAAAATTTTTTTGGTTAAAATCTTTCTATAAAATCATGCCAAAATATTACATAAGATAGGGAAGGGAAGGGAAGGGGGGATCAAAAAAAATATTACGGTTTCTTACACAGGGGTGGTTGGAGGTCTGGAATGGCCGAAATCGCCCTTACGTAATTTATGGACGGCCCTTACTTAACACTTCCATTGTTGATGGAAGTGTTAAGCTTTAATTCTGTCCCTCTCCCCCGTGGGGAGAAATTTCGAAAAATCTCTTTTTAGTGTGCGTTTTCGTGACGTACCCTAACTGTGTACCAAATTTCAACTTTCAACTCCTAACCGTTTGGGCTCTGCGCTTATTATTATTATTATTATTATTATCAACTCATCTCGATTATATATATAGATTACCGTTGCTTGTAAAATATTTATTTTATATTTAGGTGATAATTTTTTCATAAAACAGTCCAAATTGATTAAAATTTAAATAAATAAGCTTTACATTACAACAATGTTCAAAAGTATTTTAAATACATAAATATAAAGTATTCATAAACAAGCAATTATTTACTGTGACATAGTCACAATGCCGGGCTGCAATTATTAATCATATTTTTAATTTATTTAAATCAAAATATATGTTCTCCACCTCAAATTAGTAGTGGCTTGTCGTTGTACATCATTCTTTTCCTTTAATAATAGAGTTTTTAACAGAAGTTTTGATTTGCAATAACATAGCTTCCGATAGCATCGGAAGTTCGTATATAGTTTACCGGGGTTTCCTGACGATAAGGATTCCATATTCATATTCAGTTTTGTAGTTTTGTTATTTTATATTCGCCTTATTTAATGAAAATAATATCTATTTTTTTCGATAAACAAAATAACTTTATAACCAAATGTAAAGCTTCATTAAGCATGAAATTATGTGTTAAATAATATCATTTAATTTAAAAAAAAAAATGCTTATTTATATCGCGCTTAACAATATGAATCTAGAAATCTTTAAAGTACTTAACTATTATCATAAATCAATTTTCCGATCTACTGAAAGCAACTAGCACGCTAAATTAATTCTATTTAAAATATTTATTTCGCTTTTTAAAAATAAATAAATCCAATTTACATTACATTGAAATTAATCTACTAATTAATTTTGATGTTTAAACATGTTCAGGTACTCCAGCACATTACTTTCTACTGCAATTTGACTTAGTTGAATTTCTAAAAGATCCTTGATCACATTTCTCTTCTGTCCTTACTGTAATTTCAGGATGAAAAAACTGATGACATAAAGTTTTATAGTTCAGTCCAAGTTCTTCTCCCTTTTCTAAATTAAATGNCTCTATATATGCATTTGTGAACTGTTATTTACGATATTTGTAATAATTTTTGTTTAATCACTTTATTTCAACTATTTTTTGCTAATTACGTATTCGCTCGAACTCTGTTAAAACCTTAACTGTGCCCCGAACGACAACCGAAGTTGTAGGAGGAAATTCGCCTATTTTACCGATCTAGGTAACTCCCCTTTTCCAAATTTTAATATCAACTCAAAATAATTTAAAAAGATAAATTACAATAAAACAGTTTATTATCCAACTATCAGAAATTTCACAACACGCCAAGGAAGAGTGGAAGGAGCAATTAAATAATTAAAATTATAAAGGATTAANAGCGAGAGTTTTCGCAGATAAGGGAAAAACAGAGGATGTACTAACTTCTGTGAAAGGAAGTAACATCTGTCATCCATTTTTCCCACTCTAAAAACGTTATTTTTCTCCCAAAACGAAAGAATATTTTATGACAAAATATTAACATTATTAATAAAAATTATTAAATTAGACCCAGGGGCCTTTCAGGTCTCACACAATTGTTGTGGTTTCTATTGCGATGCAAACGTTTTAAATTTGGCCACTTTTATAACGTTTCAATTAACGCATTAGCTTCGTTATGACTTATAATTTTTCTATCCTTTGAACCTTCCTTTACCGAAGTTTCGTAAAGATCGTGTTTGTTATTATAACGAGGCAGAAACATAAGATTTCTGCAAACTGGGCGTTATGGAAAGAATCTTAACAAACGTCACGGAACATAGGAAATTCACGCAAATTCCGAATTATTAAAATTTATGTAATAAACGCTACATAAATAAGTCTTTTAAAATTTATTTTATTCCAGTCAGAGATTGATAGAAGGCGACTTATAATATGTCGTCTGCTATTAGTTCGTGAAGAAAAAGACTGAAATTTTTATTGTGAAAACCTGAGGGCCCTGGGCCTAATTTAATAATTTTTATTAAAATATGTTTAAATAGCGACACAAAATATTACTTCATTTTTGTGAAAAACTAGTGTTTTGGACGTGGGGAAAAACCAGATAACAGATGCTACTTCCTTTCATAGAAGAGAACATCCTCTGACTTTCCCTTATCTGGTTAAAAATCTCACTGAGATGGGAAATGGTTACCCCTCATTCGTTCCCCTTTCGTCCGTTCTCATGAAAGAGTTACTGGCCGATGAATGGTCGAAATTCAGGAGATATAAGGGAAATTAGTCCGAATTCGGGGAGTTCTTCGACAGTTTCCAAAGTGTCCAGACTCACATACGTTTCCCTCCTGATGACCAACGCCCTTATACGAGTCACTTAGACTAAGTCCCGAGTCTGCACGTAGAAGGGAATACTTTTATATTTGTGCACTTATCGATCTCCCATGTTAAGAAGAAAAATGAACTTTTTCTACAAAGTGTCCTCTGCCAATACAGATGAAGACGAACGACGACAACTAAACAGGTCGTATGTTTTAGAATGATTTTGTGAGCTCTCTCTCTCGATCGCGCATTAGCATAGAATAAGTCTTTGCCTATATCTTGTCGCTTAATTGTCGTTCATCGATTATTTGTATTCGTAATTTGTTTTCGAATTATTAAATTTACTCTTGTTAAATTTACTTAAATGTCTCTTAAATTGATTCCGAATCCGATCGCAAACGCGTGTTTGTCCGCGCAACGATAAATTGACAAACTGGTGTCAAGGAATCTTGACAAGGATCTGAACTTCACCGATTCAGATCTATTAGCGATTATCGCCCTCCTATATAAAACTTTTAAGATCGGGTCTTACGATTCGAAACTTTAGAAAACTATTCTCACGGAATAGGCCGAGTAAGTGGCACCCTTTAGTAGGTGCCCCCGGCTAATCTCACATTATTAAGAAAACGATGATATCAATACACCATTAAAAGCAATTGATACATGTATTTAGATGCATACTTTATATAGAATCAGCGCCACTAATCAGAATTAAACAAAACTAAATGTCTCGACAGTCGCAAACGAGCCTAAAATTCTTACTTATAAATTTGATGCTGAAGTCTTTATACGAAAATCGGATGATTAAAGGGAATTTTCATAACTTTACTGAATAATAATTTTAATAAAAAGTTTTACTTAATTTTTGATGCTTTTAGTTGTTCCATATATTCTCTAACATCATCTGCACAATGTTCCATACTATTCCACACAATTGGCCATAATGGAACACCTAGCCAACATTTTTTATATGCGATAATTATTTTATGAATAACTTTATTGCTTGGATATTTTATAAATTAGTATATGCACGAAAAAGTTGTTTTAAGTTAGATAAGTTGATATTGCAGTTAACACTTTTACAAGCAGAAAACCCTTAAATAGTTCGCGCCACCCTACTCTAAATTATGCTCGTTGTGGAAAGAATAAAACATTTTCACAGCTTGGATACAGAAAAGTACACTAAAGTTCTATTTTTCAGAACTTTCCAAACGGATTAGAAGAATTACTTGGAATTGTATAGAGGATAATTCGCCCTCAGCTGAAAGAAATGCAGTAAGCATATTTTTAGTGTAACTAAATAAAATGTTAAGTTATAGTTTACAAATATTAATATGGAAATATAATTTGTCAGTATAAACGTGTAGCCCAATGCTTTAATGAAAATAGATTTGTTAACATCATAGATAAAATGTGTGGAAAAACAGTAAATGAGATAAATATAATTAGACAAATAAATTGATATATCAGCGTTTACAATTATCAAAAACATAATAAATATAATATCTATTTTGTAGATTATAGCAATGATAAAGCCGTATGATAACTGTGTGAAAAATTTGAACGTAGATGACGTCGTCCGTGACCCCGTAAGTTGAAAATAAAAACAATTAAAAAATTTTATTTTAATTTAACTTAATTAATTGCATTTTTTATAGTTTCAGTCTGCAGATTTAGCTGTGGTAGTTGAATGTGTCAGTGGAAAACTTCAATAGAAAAAGTATTATCGTAGTCATCTATGATTATTCGTCGCTGATTATTTTACCCAATGTTGAGCCATAAATTTTTTAAAATTGAATATGTGTAATTAATTCTTCCAAAATTTAACAATCTCTTTCAAAATCTAAAATTAGCGTGTGTTAATTTAGAAAAATTTGAATAAACAGTTTTGTATTATAAATTAGTCTATTTTTTTATTTCTGCCTATCTAGAAAATAATATAAATTTAATTACATATGAAATTCTGATGAAATAATTCAGAATATAAATGTTAAATATTCGCATAAACAGAATAAATGCTTTATTTTCGACACATTTAATTAATTAATAATGTTATTTTTATAACGATTAAATTATATAATTTAATTCTAAAATTTAATAATTTGGTTTGTACTTCGAGATCATAGTAAGTATATTTTTTTAAAATCATTATAATTATATTTAATTATAATGATTTTAAAAAAATATACTTTACTTTGATCTCGAACTATAAACCAAATTATTAAATTTTACATACGGTTTAAGTAGTTAAATTAAATTAAATGTTATTATTTCCGAATGTATTGCTCAAAAATTAATTTTTTGCAACGTATTTGAAATATGTTAAATCGATGTTAAATGCCCACAGATGTTTTAATTCTGTTCGCATAAGTGGAATAATTCCTTATGAAAACTCTAAAATTGTAGAGAAAGCAGCTCATGTTTTGCAAAATTTACGCTTTACATTTATACATAGATTATAATTATTGTATGACGAAAGCAATTCATGTTTATTAGAATAACTTTCATCTCTTTTGCATTTCTTAGCAACTCAAAAAGCCTTCTACAGACGTTCGTGTAAAATAAAAATGAATAACTCGTGTTAAGGGTTGCCAAATTGCAACAAGCTGCAGAATTTAGGCAAACGGAAGGGGAGAAATATTAGCAAATACTTTATGTTTTCCAAATTTTTAATGCATAAGAATTGAAGTAGTTGCACAGAAGAACACCAGTTACGAAAGTTTCACTGATAATTCTAAAAGGGAATATTTAAAAGGATCAGAAAAAGCATCAACATTCAAAGGTTAAACGTGAAAGATACATTGTTTATTTAAAGTAATGTCGTTATTAAATTGATCAAAATATTTTCAAGTGAAAATATAATAATTATAATAATTGTTTACACAATTTAATTATGCTGTGTTAAAATTAACCTGCAATAAACAGCATCGTTCATTCAAAACCGATAGAATTAATGCACAACTAATATTATACGATTATACGATTATTAATGCAAAATTAGTAATATACGACAACGAAATATACCGTATAATACACACAAGATTGACTATAGTTCCCATGTTTGGATCATAAATGTGAAACATAAACATAAAAACTTTTTCTTGATCTAGGATTGTGATAAGAATAATTAATAATTGATGCAACAATCAATTATTACAACGAAAAGATTACTTTGTCAAAGTGAAAAAAATGAAAGGATTTTTAACACCATGTAATGCAATTATTTCTGAAATTGGAATTTATATCAAAAGAAACTTGATACTTTTACTCAACAATTAAAAAATTTGTGCTTTCTCGAGTCTGATGATTTTTTCTAGGAAAACAAAAGCAACAGATGGATCAATATTGTAACTAACATCATCATATTGTAACTAATATTGTAATTTTGGAGAGCCTACTGTCGTGCGTCTACTAAAATAATATTAAATATTACGTATTTTTATTTATTTTACAAAAAAAACATTTTTCGTGCTTTACTTTTCTTAATATTTCTTAATGATATTACTTAAATTTATTTTGAAAATTTGTATCTTGAGCCCTTAAAGACTGTGTGTGAGTTACACGATTATGTTCANAATAATGCTTTTAAATTTATTTGTACATTGTTTCTTTCAGAAATCCGAATTGAACCATCTGGCATTGATTTAATTCGAGATGTGCTATTCGGAATAATAACATAGGTATAATTAATGCTGAAAAACTAAAGAATAATATAAATAAATAAATAAAAATAAAAAAAATAACCACAAATTTTTTTTTATTTCTACTTAATTATTTGCAATAATTATATAAAAAATTTTAAATAAAATCTGATAATAGATGGCGCCACGCATAATTTATTTATTATTTCTCCCTCATTAATGATATTAGTGATATTGATGATAACATTATAGTAATGTTACTGTGATTAATAATATAAAATTTAGTTTTTATATAAAATTTCATGACAGCCGGTAAAAGTTACGAAACTCGTTGCTAGATTTTTTTTGTACATTCCTACTCTTACTGGTATCGGAGTTAATATGGAGGTTACTGAGTAATCGCTTCCGAAGAGCCAGTCGAAGCATTTTTGCTTGATCATATGAAATTTTTTGCGAAGAGCCATGGAAATGCCTTTCGGGTAATGTTTTAAGGGTAATTGGCACCTATTTAGGCGTTAAACGCTTGTAGAAAACTCAGAAAACTCTACACGGCCTGCCTGACGTGGCGAGGCGTGAGCTCACGACCGAACTCCCAGTGTTTAAGTAACCGAACTGCTTTCTTTAGTTAACAAACTATTAAAATCCAGCAACAAGTCTCTGAACTTTCCAAGGCTACATTTAATGGCGTTACCTATTACGATAGTTCATTTTTAAAAACCATTTTATAATTTTAATTATTATAAAATGGCAAAAATCTTAACTTTAACTGCTAATAGCGAGAAAAATCAGCATTAAGTCAGACCCTACTGGAGATATGACGCACGTCCCCTCTTATTGCCTCATCCCCTCTATTTTTAACCACTAGAATTTAATTGCATCAATCCATTTAATGCACAAACCTCCATGCAAAATTTCAGATATTTTCGACAAAAAGTACAGGAGTTATTAACATAAGTAACCATCACCTAACATGAAAAAAACTAGCACATTCAGTAAAACGTTTTGAATTTTAAATAGTCTTTCTGACCTTCTCTTTTCCGGCTGTTATGTAGCCTATATACAGAAAGTACAATGTGGGATCGTGTCAAATTTGATTTAAATCTGTACACAAAAATATGGCAAATTTACTCTTTTGTAAATGAAAATATCATTCTTAAAGAAGCTTTAATCTGTACACAAAAAAATCACAAATTTATTCCTTGTATGTAGCATCTTATCTGTTACAAGGGCACTTGTATTCTTCATTGTTTTCTGCAATGAAAAAAGTATCCCAATTTTTTAAATTTATTTGTCTTTTATAAAGCTGAAACATATAGTTATACAAATCAACTAAAAAGTAAAACATAACAAACAAATAAAATAAAAATGTACAAAAATTGATGCAATCATCCCAATCCCTTCTACGTAATAAGTATCTAAATTAATTTAACATTATTTAATTGTATTGTTCACAAATTTTAAAAATTATTTAAATTTTCTAAATGTTATTTTTACAGTACAATATAAATGTATTATCTTGGAGTCTGATGTACTCAGAAGTTTTCACATTATAGTATTTAGATAAATAGAATAAAATCAATTCAAGACTCGAATGTAGTTTACAGAGACGTGTAACTCACGAACTGCAAAACTTGCAACTATTTTTAAGTTAACAGTAGGATTTTCGTTAGGCTACGTTTTATTCGACTTGCCTTTCGTACTAAGTTGACGACACGAAACTGTCTGACAAATTGAGGATCAAGTTTTCTTTCTGTGGACATGACAAATACTTTTGTCTTCCATTTATTAGGGAATCATAAGTTTCCTTACGTAATTTTAATGTAAATGCAGATGCTATGTATATGTGTAGGCTTTTTTCAATCAAAACAATAAAATTAAATAAAATACGAATTAATTGGATTTCTTAAAAGGTTTTATTTTCATTATTGACAGGTGACTGTAAATGAAGCTTATCATACACGGAAGGCTAAAAAAAATTGAAAGTGATGTTACATAGCTATTTTTGTAAGAAGCATATTTTGTTAGTAAACTGTCAGACAATACATTTGTATAAAAAATCTAATAATTACAAATTATGATATTATCGTCATATTAAAAAAACATGAAAATTGAGTTTCAAATGATTTCTTCGTTCTTCTTATTCGTCTGCATCATCTACTTCCTCTCCACGAAAATTATCGAACCTGTAAATCTCTCTCCACTGCAGAGTCTTCTTGTTATGACAGTACATTTTGTTTCCGTTGCTTCTGAGTACATGTATTTAGACAACGATTAATAAGAATTAATTTTTTTAGTTTTATTTTCACTCACTTTCATATCAAAAGTGAATGAAAATAATGCTTTTAAATTTATTTGTACATTGTTTCTTTCAGAAATCCGAATTGAACCATCTGGCATTGATTTAATTCGAGATGTGCTATTCGGAATAATAACATAGGTTTAATTAATGATGTAAAAACTAAAGAATAATATTGATAAATAAAAACAATATAAATTTTAAAAATCTACAGATTTTTTCAAGATAATCAATAGAAAAATTAAAACTATATTTGATTTTTTAAAACTGATTATTAAAAGTTTCAAAAAATATAATAAAATTGATTTATTTATAAGATAATTAAATTTGTTTTTAATATTATTTAAGACTAGCTGCAAGGACCCGCTTCGCTGGGTTTTTATTTGTGGACAAAAAGTAACGATAGTGAAGATTAAGATAATTACATTACAGCCAATCTTACCCGTTTTCACAGAATGCAAGAATTAGGTCCCCCGTTTCCAAACAGAACGTCTCCTGTTTATGTCCAGTCAAACGAACTATTGTCAATTTGATCAATTTTCTGGAACGTTTGCAATCGTTCTATAATCGAACCGATACGAATTTAAATTCAAAATTTTTTTACATCGAAATAGAAAATCTTCCTCTTTCAACCACTTTCAAGCCCATATCTCTCGCACCCTTATAGCTATCGAGATGCAACCACCATAGTGCACGAATGGAGACTTGGGGCTACTACCACATACAAACACCATTCATGTGCGATGTGTAGTTTTGGCTGAAAAGTGAAATATAGGACACACACGTCCATTTATATATCTATATCTATATATATATATATGGACATGTATGTCCCTATATTTCACTTTTTCGCAAAAACTGCACATCGCATGTAAATGGTGTTTGTATGTGGTGGTAGCCCCAAGTCTCCATTCGTGCATAGGGGTGGTTGCGTCTCGATAGCTATAAGGGTGCGGGAGATATGAGGCTGAAAGTGGTTGAAAGTGGCTTTCTATTTCGAATGTTTTGTTCGAATTTGTTTGAATTAAANGAATATTTAACGATTGTTGATAGGCCTATAAATTACCCGTTGACAACGTAGTTGTCTTTATTAACGCAGCGATGGAAACAGAAAGAAACGTGTCTTGAAACATTTGTTTAAAGCTATCTCAGTTGATAACGTGTGTCTGATATGCAACGATCTTTATAATAAAGATAGAGTTCCATTTCCTAAAATGTAATTTGTGGGTTCAGTTGATATATACTAGTGAAGTTTGCTATTATGTATGTTTTTGTTGTGCAATAAAAAAATGAATAAATATGTATTAAACAAGTCAAAAAGCAACCCCTTGTGACTTAAATATTTTGATTCATTTTTCTAATTTTTTAAAATTTTAACGAAATATACTTTTGTGAAATGAACAATTATTAAATCATTCATTAAATATTTAGTGACATGTTTATAAATGCGTTCATTTAGTGTGTTTTGTACCATATCTTTAAATCTTTCAACTCAAATTTCATTCACTTCTAATTAAGATGGAAGGCCGAAACTGTGAGAACACATTTAAGTTGGATGACAATGTATTTAAATTATTATATAGTTAACTTGCTGTATATTAGATTTCAAAGTAAAACCGAGAATTGCTGTGAGACACGTCTATCATATCAGAGACGGTTTTACATTGATATTTAAATAACGTTTTACACGGATATACGCTACCGTTTTTCCCAACCCGAAACTCGGTAAACATAATTATTTATGGAATTTAATTATGTGTATGTGTGTAAATGCATTGTTATGATGTATGTGGCGAAGTTTCGCTATTCCAACCATTCCTCATCCCAATCTCGAATAAATAGTACATTAAAAATCATTTTAATTTAAAAAAACTGAAATCTACTTTTGTTTCAAAACTTAAAGTAATTTTTAATTTATATATTTTTGTAAATTTTAACAATTTTCCTTTTTTAAAAGTTAAATAAAAAAAGGAAACAGTTTTTATAACGTTTCCCTTATTGTAAAATACATAAGTTAATTGCTTTTCCTGTTATTATGATTAATAAAGAAAATATAAATAACCGAAAATTACGTATCAATTTATTTTAAACATAAATTCTTTCTTTGCAAGAAGTGCAAAATGAAGTTGTGCATTTTGCTTTTTTTAGGAGTGATCGCATGCAATTTAGGTCCCATCAATGGCTTTAGAATGAAAAGAGAGATGCTTAACTATTTTAACTATTGTGGTGAGCGTAAGAAGTTTTGTATTTAATTCTCAAATGTTAAGAATAAATTATCTTAATTTCAGAGAGATTTTTAAAAATTTCATAGTTTTAGATATATAAAAATATATTACAATCGCATTTCTATTTAATTTACATTGTTTACCTGTAAAACTTCAAAATACTATATTGAATTGTATCCAGTCGCAACTTTCCTTTAAGGAAAGACAAACGGTTAGTTATTTTAATATAATTAAAAAAATTGTTGTCAAGATATATAAATATTAATATTCAAATATAATTTGTCAGTTTTCAGATATTGCCCGATGCTTTAACGAAGCTAACTTTGTTGACTTTCTGAATAATAAAATGTGTGGCAAAACATACGATGAGGTAATATAATTTCATTCGTTTTAGTATAATGATAAATATTAATGAATACATTTCGTGAGCATTTACAAAAGTATAATGTATATAGGCCTAATTTTTATTTCGTAGTTTAATGCAATGGTAGCACTGCACGAAGATTGTTTAAAAGAGCTAAATTTGGATGATAAATCAAATGAATTCGTAAGTTAAAAATAAAAAGATAAACACAAATTTACTTTTTATTTCTACTTAATTATTTGCAATTTTTATGCTTTTAGGATGTAGACGAAGATGAGTTTGCGAATTGTGTCCATAATAATCCCTGAAAAATAAAAAAAACATTGACGTGCACGATTCGTCGCTGTATAGTTTATCCAATGTTGAGCCATCTATTAATTTTCATTAAATGTGCGTAATTAATTCTCTTAAAATTTAATAATTTGTTTTTAAATTTTCTATTTGTTTGTAATAAATTAGAATATTTTAAATAAACAGTTTTGTATTACGAAAAGTATATTTTCTTTTAAATTACTTTGCTTCTTTAAATTACTACAACTAAATTATACTAGAGCAGACTGGATACGGTTGTATATGTTAGAGGTTAGTTGCATCAATGCGGTTTAAAAATAATACGTGTACATACTAGCGCTATATCGGGGTAGTTTATGTAATTAGTCTCTTAATTTTTCTGCTAAGTTTTATCTTGGTGAGAAATAAAGTTAGCTATCTGGAGCGAAAAGTCTTCCTTGGACGTTTCGTGAAGTTTGGAAGTACCAAACTTCCTCATTTTTTGAATAGTGACCTTCAAAAGAAAGTAAGGATCTTAGCGTTGCGTGATTGTATAAGAAATATGCAAGTAGGAGATATACTGGCTTTGTTTTAGTTGGAACTGTTGATAAAACAAAGATAATAAAACTATTTTGCTACAACGGGACGGACACAATGCATTATCTTGTCGAGAGTGACGTTGTATCAGGATAGTTTTGTTGCGTGTAAATATATAAACTAAGCAAACCAATGCTATTATGCTCTGTGAATATTTAACGATTGTTGATAGGCCTATAAATTACCCGTTGACAACGTAGTTGTCTTTATTAACGCAGCGATGGAAACAGAAAGAAACGTGTCTTGAAACATTTGTTTAAAGCTATCTCAGTTGATAACGTGTGTCTGATATGCAACGATATTTATAATAAAGATAATAGATTGCTTTCCACTTCCTAAAATGTAATTTGTGGGCTCAGTTAATATGTACTAGTGAAGATTTCTACAGTATATGTTTGTTGTACAATAAAAAAATGAATAAATATTTATTAAACAAGTCAAAAAGCAACCCCTTGTATGATGCACCTAAGCTTCATAAACAATAGGATCGATTTAGCGGTAATGGAATAAATCGAAAGCGTGATTTAACGTTTGACTTGAGCACTACAAGATTTTTTTATGATATGATTTTGAATCACTATATTTTGCTTTGAGATTTGCACTGTTGTTTTACTTTATTCGGAGATAGTTATTTCTGTATTTTTTTATTATCAAGGATAAAAATAATTTTAAAAATTACAAAAATTTGAATTATTGATATTTTTAAAAATCTTTTTGTTTAACATTCTGGTTACGAAACTCAATTATTTTGTGTTTATGATGTGAGGACCCAAACGGGGTCCGAAAGCAGGCCAATAACGACTTTTTAAAAGAGTCAATTTTCGTAGTACGAAAGAGCGAACTTAAAGATCGGATTTAAACAATGAACCTTTTGTCTTGTTAAAAGATTTTAAACAATAGATAGAGTAAAGTCGAGGAAAACGAGGTTGGAGAGGAGTCGTGTTCCGACGCGACGTTGAACTCTCCCGCGCCCTTCCTGGAGTTTCGAATTGTCACCATGTGACGAGGAGAGACCAATGGAGAGGCGACCGCGGTGGAAAAATTGATAAAACCGCGTTTTCGGGAACTTTACGGAGTCTTGGGTTTTGGTGCGTAGCGCTACCCTGCTGGGATTTGGTGCTCACGACAGAGACACAACGAAGGCTCTTTCGACGCCCTAGGAGCTGGTTTCGACAACCCGTTCTGTCCAGAATCGCCGAGGTTCAACTCGTTAACCGAGGACATCGCGACAAGTGCTGGTGCGTGCTCCGGGGACATCGTTCTCTGCGTCCGACGTGCGAAACACCCAAGGACCGACCGAACTGTCGAACTTTTCCGTGTTGTTTGGGAACTGTTTTAGTAACCCATCGGTGGATAGGCGTTCGCCTGACTTCTTGAATTGTTGTAAGAACAATTTATGTATATTATTAAACGGTTTTATATGGTAAACCTGTCTCGGTGAGTCATTCTGCGCCCACACGACAGTATTAACCGCTCGGCTGTCGAAAACACCTCACCCCTAATCGGCAGGCCTCACAATGACAACAAACCCTATCATTTTAGCTTCAATACAACACGAGAAATTTACATGAAATCTTGCTCTGTCAACTGAGCCGTACTAACATGGCGTCGTCTACATGGTGTGGAGCGCTTTTCTTAACTATAATTTATAATAAATATATAAAGTTCGATAAGTATTTACGATATGTTTAATTTTTGGTCATCTATATATATCAATATAATCGATACGGGTTGAATATAATAATAAGCGCAGAGCCCAAACAGTTAGAAGTTGAAGGTTGAAATTTGATACACAATTAGGGTACGTCATGACAACGTGCAATAAGAAAAAATTTTTCGAAATTCCTACCGATGGGAGAGAGACAGGATTAAAGCTTCAACAATGGAAGCATTAAGAGAAAGCAACGTGCAGGATTTACAGACGCAGATGCGGTTTTTTGCGTTTTTGCGGGAAATCGAACATATTTTTAGACCCATCTACAAATTCATTAATTAGTCCGGAAACAGAGGGGACCTAATTCCTGCATTTCGTGAAAACGAGTAAGTGTGGCTATAATGTAACAATAGTCTTAGTCTTCGCTATCGTTACTTTTTGTTCGAGCAACGCCGGTCTTATCTGCTAGTATGCTTATAATTAAAGTCTTGATTACTAACTAATGATTATTACGTAAGAAAACGAAATTACGTATTTGACGTCACACGACGCGTGTACGGCGTCGCACGTTGCGTGCGACAATAGAATAACTGTTCCTTTCTTAACTCGAGTTTATTGATAACGTCATGTGCACCTGATAAAGTTATTTACAGCTTTATAAACAATGGGATTGATTTAACGGTAATGGAATAAATCGAAAGCGTGATTTAATGTTTGACTAGGTAATGAAAATTATAAAACTGATAAAATTAAAGCTAATAATTTATTTTAAAAAATGTATATAAAAGAATATAATGCTTAAATACGTTTCAATCCGTACACATTTATAGCACTAGAGTATTAAATTTAATGATGAGACGGCCGCGACTGTAATAATTAAAATTTGTTGATATTATTGATACAGATTTTAATTTCTAAGATGCCTACTGTGATATTCCGGAATAATAATATGTTTGTCACTTGTTTTATATTAACTATAATTTTTATTAATGTTTTGTATGGTTATTTTTAGGCAGCATTTATAAAATAAAGACAACAGAAAGAAAAACACATCTCAAATCTTTACCGATAAAAAAACATTTTACCATTAAAGAAAGAACCAAAATACTGTGAACCGAGGGGGTTAAGCAGCGAGCTTGACTCCACTTATCGGCTTCTTTGTCAGGGATGGTCGATGTGTTTAACGAGTAGAAGGGCAAGATTTTTTATTTACTAAATTTACTAAACGAGACTGTGGGCGTAAGAAAAGTGTTGCGTCGTCACAGCTGCTTATCGTCACAGCTGCATTGCTGTGACACTATCGTCACAGCTGCATTCCAGACACTTTCGTGTCTGGAATGCAGCTGTGACGATAGTGTCTTAGCAAAGAAATTATTACGGTGGTTTGTAACTGCATTTACTACAAAATCTTCATTACTTCGAGATGGTAAATTACACTTAATTATTCAGAATAAAGCCGCTGTTACATCGAGATATGAGGCATTAATCGACGTCTTAAAATACAAATAAACACCGGCGAGCCGATTGCACGGAACCAGCAACCAGCAAGTTACTGCTGGTTGTTAGGGCAAATAGATAAAAAAATATGTAAGAATGGAACACCCGTTTTTTGCATAATGTAAATGGCATTCGTGTGAGGATGACTGATAAGTGTAGAAAACCAGAAAGACTGAAGCTTTTCTCTAAGTGTAATATTGCATTCCATTTTTTACTCTAAACGTCTAACACTAAGACAATTAACTTTATCGGTCAGTGTTTATTTCAGGACGTCGCAGCATTTGATTCCGTTGAAATACTGATATAATGACGTCGTGTTAATTTAAATTGAGTGGTATTTTGTGTGAACCTTTACGTGTTTAAGAAGTGATTGACATAACGTGCTAAATCAATTAACCTTTATCAAAGAAACGTAAAGTAAGAATTAAAATTCACACAATACTTTACATACCTTATTAAATATCGACCAGTTTACTTTCTTCGTTTTAAACACGGACACACCACAGATGGAAACTTGCGAAGAAAATGCCAAAAAATGTCCATGCAGCTTGTAGTTT